TTCTGTGGAAGAGAGAAGCCATAACTTCGACTAGATTCCCTACGAGAAATGTGTCTCTATCCTCCTCAAAGAATGTCTAAGGTCCATACAAATTAAGGCATGGCTAAACAGCTGGTGGAGAAATTTCTCCAACCTGCCCAGATTCCTTGAAAATGCCGACTGACATCCATCTTTCCCTGTATTCTGGCAACTGGAAAGGTGGGAAAACTGCACACTGCATTTTAAGTCCTGAGACAGGAAGTAACCAGTAGGAATTCATTTTCCAGGGCATTCATTAAAATGTCCAATAACAGTTATCCTGTTTCGATCAACAAGATAAGATGACAGAAAGAACAGAGAAGGTGAAGGGCTGTACAACGAGGAAATTTTCTCCACAATTTTCACCTTTCCAGAAGCCAGGGAGATTAATAAAGCACCGATCAATTCTTCTAAGAAAGGCAAAATGAAGTAAAAACCTTAAACTGCCTCTTATAAGAAAAGGGGGTGTGTAAACAAGTGGAGAGAGAAAATCTTATTCAGTAAGTGGTGATGTTGAAATGATAATATTTAACTATTTGCAAGAAATGGTTAAGCAGAAATCAGAATAAAATGTCAGAGATAGAGCTAAATGTAATACACAGAGAAGTAGATACAGATATAAAGATACATATCTATAAATGAATTATATAAAAATACATCTGAACATAAAAGAGGTGGAAATAATCTGGGGGAAAGAAAAAGGTTGAACAACGTATCATTGTGCAAAACATCAAGGCAGCATGGCTCCATGAAGCCTTTAATTAAATGGCTTAATCAAATTCCTTCTGGTCCCTGGAATGTCTGCATTCCAGGCTGAAGCTATCTCTCCAGCCTACAGAACCCCGACCGATGATCCATGCCCCTGTGAGATTCTCCCAGCATCCTCTCTACCAAGACTCCCTTCCCCCCTAATCAATACCCTTTCCTGAGGATGGCATGGTTTTCCTGTTCCCGACCACTTCACTGGTGCTCCTGTTCCCCAGCTTTCAAGCCTTCACAGAATCTTCTTTTTAATATCTCAAGCTTCTGACAGTACAAGAAAAGGAGATGGTAAAGAGAAGAGAGGGGGGCCGAGCCTCCAGGAGGAGAAGGCTGACAGTTCACTGCTAGACGGGACTTCACTGGCACACTCGGCGGTGCTGCGAGGCAGGGTTTAAGAGATGCCTGCTCCCATCGTCCTCTGACTGCAACTAGATGACATGCAATCAGTTTTTTCCAAAAACATATAAAATAAGAGCAACATATGCTTATATAAAACCATAAACTCATCTACCAATACAGAATAATTCCTGAAAAACTGGACTCTGAGGAACAGATTTAGTAACTCTTAAGAAGTCAAACGCCACCCTCTGAGGCCCTGTACAGCACCCAGATTCAGAAAACCTGCATGTGGGCCCTAATTCTGCCATGTACCACTGTGTAATTTTATCTTAGTCATTTAATTTCTAACTTTTACTTTCCCAATTTAGTCAATGGAGATAACAGTAATTTCTAGAATCATGAGAGTTTTTGAAAATTACTGATTCCTAAGTTGCCCCACCCCAGACCTAGGGAATCAGAATCTCAGAGATGGGGAAATTTGTAAGTCTTCTCTATTTCAAAATCTCCCTGGTGTGATCTGGACACATAGGACTCTGAGGACTGGTAGCTGGAAATGCTGCAGCACCTTGGTGGGTTAGCAACACCTCCAACCCTACCTCGCCTCTCTCACTGTTGCTCGAGTCCTTAACCCCTTTCTCCCTGAGGAGTCAGGCGGCCCATGTGACGTTTAGAACTTGAGGAACCATCAGACGGTGACCCGGGAGCTGGGCAAGCAGGGGCCTCCTCCATCCCGCTGCCGACGAGGAGGTGCGGCAGAAACAAAGACATGCCTCCATCATGTGAAGGTGGTTCTCAGACATGTTTCTTGTGGGAGGTGGTAGTTAGGAAAATGCTTACTTACATACAGGCCAGTGGAGACCCTGGTCTGGCTTGGAAGCTAAGAGCTATGTTCACACTACTTCAATGGGAAAAATGCTTTGCAACCTCCAGAGGAACAATTCATTATTATATGTTTGGAGCTGCCAGCACACAGAAATAGGGATACAATCCAAAATGCTGAGGTCTGGTTTCTGGATTTCTTCCAAGTGATTTTTGTCTTCTTTTAGTGTAACCATGAAATTACACTTGACACCTTTTTAAGTACCGAGCTTTCTTTGATTCAATACCTACGTCAGCTTCTTTCAATGATTATTTTCCCATTATCAGAGGTTAAGGGACAGAATGCAATTCTTTAAAGAAGTGATTTTGAATGGACAAATCAATCCCCTTGGATTACCGGTGAGCTTTTAACCAACTGTTAGAAATATGTGCTAAGAGTCAAAGACTAACACAGGAACCGGCACTGATTGATAGGATAAAGTAAAACAGCCCCCAATAATACCGACTTCTGATCATGTGCCAGTGTGCTAGTTATGGTTACACATAATATTTCAGCCTTTATTCTTCCTGGTCAAATTGTTAAATTGCTTTCTATTTCCTCTGCTAAAACCCTAGTTTGCACCTGAGCCGGCAAGTACCATAAGCACCATCAGGACAACGTATGTTTATAAAGCACTTCTGTTTCCAAAGGGCTTTCACAAGCATTAGTTTATGTGTTGCTCACAACAGACCCGCAGCAGGCAGATCTGATATCAGCCCCATTTTATAACGGGCAGCTGAGTCGGCACTCGGCCAGCCATCAGGGAGTGGAGGTGGGCCAGCTGTTGAAGGGTGTGAGGAACAAGGGGAAGCCAAGCGGACATAGTGAGTGGAGACCAGACCACACGGAGCCGAATTCTTCAGAGTGTGAACCAACTGAATAGCAACATTCATTGACTCCAGACAACTGGATCTGCTTCCAGAAAACAATCATGGGAAAGAGTCATCTAGAAACGAGGCTAAGGAACAGTGGCCGCCATGTGCCCCAGAAGCCTTCAGATCCTTAGGTTGCTAATGTCCTCTACCATCATGCCCAGAGGTGGCAACCTGAGGCTCAGAGTCTTTAGTACCACCCCCCCCATCCCCTCATTCCCTTTGGCTTATGAATTAATGAGAGGAAAAGCTCAGGGAGGCTATCCATCGCTGGTGTGTTCTTTCCATGAGTCAAAAAGTTGACCCACAAAAGACTAGCAGAATCCTAGAAACAGAGCTCATGAGATTCGCTCAATCAGCAAATTGTTGCTGAGCCCCTTCTATGTGCAACCATTCTTCTAGGCAACAGGATGCAGCAAGGAATCAAAGAAAAGACCAGCTCACATGGAGCTTCTATTCTCACCACGGCACCCACGTTTAGGCCTTTCTACTTGCTTGTAACTCTTCCTGGACCACTCTACCCCCAGAAATCTGCATGAGTCACTTACTCTCTAACCTCCTTCAGATTTTTACTCCATTAACACCCTTTCTGCAAGGTCCTCTTCCAACCACACTATGCAAACTCGCATCATCTTCCAGAACCATCCTTCCCTATTTTCCCTAACACTTATCACCATCTAACACATTATATGTTTCTCTTATTTTTTCTTATTTTTCTCCTCCCACCAGAATCCATGCTTCCAAAACGCAGGGGTGATTGTCTGGTTTGCTCATGACAGTATCCCTAGTGCCTTTAGCTATAACTGGCACGTAGTAGGCATGAAATAAATCCTGGTTCGTTCGCATGATCAAACAAGGCTTTTGACACATGCAGATATATGCAGGCCTCCTGTGTTCACCTGTATTCATTATCATAAGCCTCATGGATATTCCTACATAGGCCTAAGTTCCTTCTCTTGGTCATACAGTTTTAAAAGCCCTATATGTCCAAATTTGCAGGCATTTATCCTTACTTTACTTGGTTTGCTTTAGTTCTTTGTGCTTAAACGAAACATTTTTCTCTTCTTATGTGGTCTTCAAACATGAGCATTCTCTTCTTTTCATACTCAGACCATTTATTACATTCCCTGCAGAATCCCTAAGCACTTAAGACTATTTGTAGCTACACATATGTCAATTCACAATATCACAAAACAGCTCTACAAAAGATAAAAATGATGTCAAATGTCTAATTTTTATTCTTTTCAAATGCAATCTCTGACTTTAAAAGTAGGCATACATGTACACAAAAGCAGTCTAACTGAATTAAAATTCCAAATCTAATAAAACCTTCCCCTCTCTTCCTCTAGTATATCTTTGGATGTCTCTAAATAGTTGCAACATCTGAGTTGCAGTGATTTTCAAGAGAAAGATATGAATGTACAAGGCCTCTGATACAGAAATAATTAAATGCTATGCTTCTTAATTCTCTAACTCCTCAAGAAACACTGGCTAACAAGGAGAAATGAATGGAAAATGCCAGAAGAGCTGATCTTACGGCCTGTTCTCCCACCTACTATAATGTGACCCCAGGGCCAGTTTTTGCTTTCTTATCTGTACAAAGATAATATACCCTGACCTTCTCACCACATAGAACTTTTCCGGGAATAACATAAATTAGTAGTGGGATATGCTCTAAACTACACAGCAACAGTCAAATGAAAGGTAGAATGATTTTGCCTAAAGGCCAAGTCCTCTTAACGGCTCCTTGAGGCGCAGTAAAACCCACAGTACCGTTGACCCTTGAGCTGTGCAGGGGGTTAGGGGCAATGATCCCCCTTCCCCGAGTCAAAAATCCGCATGACTCTGACTCTCCCAAAACATAACGACTAATAGCCTACTCTTGGTTGGAAGCCTTACTGATAACATGAACAGTTGATCAGCACACATTTTGTATGTTATATGCATGTTACACTGTATTCTTATAATAAAAGAAGCTAGAGAAAAGATGATGTTAAGAAAATCATAAGGAAGAGAAAATACATTTTCAGTCCTGTAGTGTGTTTATGGGAAACAATCTGTGTAAGTGGACCAGTGCAATTCCAGCTCATGCTGTTCAAGGGTCAGCTGCAGTTCTTTCTGCTTCTCATCCCCTTATATCAAATACATCACAAAAAAGTAATTCTTTATAGATACATTTTGGGATATACCTTTGACTGTATTGTCCTCAGATTAACGAGATGAATGTCACAAGGCAAAGATGACAGTAACGGAGAGAATTCACCTAGCAGCTGAAGGGTGGGCACGGGGATCTTTTCTGTCATTGTAAAGACAGGATGATTCAGGAGAGAGGAAGTTATGTGGCTAACGAGAGAAGGATAACTGACTGACTTCTTTTCTTCTTCCTATCAAGAAAAAACAGAAATGCTTAAGTGTTATATATATATGCAGTTTTCACAATATTAATGGAATTACCTGACAGGGTTTAAATAGAAAAGAAATATAAACAAAAACAAATATTTTAATTTTATATTTTGTAAATAACAGTCTTAGCCAACACAGAGATTACCAAGTCCATTTGTAAGCAATACAAGAAAATGAACAGTGTCCACCTAACTCATGTTTAGAAAGATCTTTTTTCCATTGCTTTAGTACTAAAAATCCTGATAACATTTTCCAAAAAACATTTTAGGACAAGGCATAACATTTTACGGAAACTCTTTCTCAACCTACCACAAAATTCTTAAATAGATGGGCTGGGATATTCACACATCTTGCACATCATCAAATGTGATCTCTTCTCCCTCAGGTTTTACCCACCATATACTCATGGTTTCATTTATACACTCAACTAGACCATAACATCTTGTGATCTGAAGCTATGCTCCATACATGTTACCCAATGACAGGATTTTTGGGGGAAAAACTCTCAAAATAAATAAGGTTTTTAAAATAACACAAGGAGTATACCTATATCATCTGTTAAATTCGGTAAATCACTACCACTGAACTGAAACTGTTAAATTATGTTATATAATAGTTAGTACATATTTACCTAGTACACAATTATTCAGTAGAATTTAAAAGTACTTTAGTCATTGCTATGGTATATACTTAAAGACAAGTGGTTCTGCATGTTCAAACATTAAACAAGTCTGCCAGGGCTGGCAATAGGCATATGGTAGATGACACACTCAATTAACTAAATCGATGACTAAGTAGAATCTTAACCAATAATGCCTAAGGTATAAGAGCACACAGAGAAAAACACTGAGAAGAGAAAATACTTTATGTAGAAAGGTTTTTTGATCAACAGTGACATGTGGAACAAATTTAATTTTGTATCTTATTTTTAAACTGTCCATTTCACTGATATCCTCTGATTTTGCATCCTTTCTGCAATACAGGGCTCAAATAAAAGGCTTGGCTACTTATCTGGCCGAAAAGATAGGATTTAGAGGAGATACGGGGCTTAAAATTCAGAATGTCAGATTAGCACTGAACAGAGGGTATTGAGCAAAGAGTGACAAGCATCTTGCCAGCAGCGAACTGTAGATGTCATTACAATTCAGACTATGGAGAAAGAAAAAATATTAAAGGCAGTAGAGGGACAGTGCATACTGAGATACTGACACAAGGTCTAAATGACTTGTAAATAAAATATGCACCCATCCCACACTCTTTTTTTAAAAGAAAGATTAAAAAAGCATATATAATAATATTCACCAACAATACTGAAATTTAATGCATGTTGTTGAATACTGAGGGAACAGTTTCAACTGGAAACTTTAAATGTACTCCAAGATCAAAGGACTTCATAATCTAGGTCAGGATTGCTGACAAAATCACTTTTCAATAATAAAAGATAAAAGATCCCAACAGAAAAGAAGACACCTGCCGTATCAGAATCAGAAGGCATTAAGTCCATTCTAGGTCAAGTAACATTCAGAGAAAGCTCTCTGGCTTTGTTCTATGCTCTTGGAGGAATCCCTGGACACTTCAGTGAATAGGTGGGATACTTCTTGATGGATTATGTATACCTTTCAAACAGTAATGTGCATATATACTCTTCCTCCCAACCACACCAGTTCCCTTGACTCTCAGTGCCCCCCTGCAACCTACCATACATAAAAATGGCTTGGGGAGCTTTAAACATAGATCCCCGAACCCTAACCCAAATCTACTTAATCAGAATTTCCAGGGGTGAGCCCTAGGAAGCCAAAGCTTAACAGCCCCCAGAGTGAATCTCAAATCTCGGTCAGTCTGACACAGCTCTGTGGACACGTGCTGGGAACCATCACCCCAGACATCCTCCCAACCTTGTAGAAGAAACCGCTGCCTTTGCAATCAAATGTCTGAGTCTCATCCTTTAACTAGTTTTGGATTAAGAAAATGATTCAGACTGAGAAACATGTTAATGCTAAGTCTCGTCAAAGGAAACAATATCATGACTGTAAGTGCTTCGAGAATTCAAGAACTGTGCCATTTACTGTCCTAAGCAGGATAAGGGAGAGAAGTTTAGGGAAGATTTGTGGTTCAGAGCTATAAAAGCACCACGAACAAATAACGCTGCTGGAAGCTGGCCAGGCAGGGTGGGACAAAATCTCACAGAAGGTTCCATGATTCATGCACTTTCTTAACATGTTTATAGCAACGAGGGGCTCGACAAGATATTTAGCTGGTGAATTATCACCTTTTGATTAATCTCCTGGAAAGGTAATCTTTTAACTGTAACCTTTATGATAAACCCAAAGCTTATAACACATGTTTGCTATAGGAAATTTTAAGCTGTAAATGAATTCTCCAGCCTTGCAGTACTAATATACTACTCTAAACATTATTTGGTTCCTTGTGGGTTGGAAGTCTTCAAGCTGTTCAGATCTAGCTTTCTCCTTGCATTCTGTATGAAATTATAAAGAGTTTATAGCACATTCTGATCCAAACCACAAGAAGTTGAGATCTCCATTGGGTTCCAGCCCTTATTTTATAAATCAGAACTTCCTGCTAGGCTCCATGGTGTCCTTCATGAAGCCCATTTAAGTTATCTGATCCCTAAACATCAAAGGTTTCCATCCATCTACAGCAAAACTTGCTAAATAAATTATCTAAGACAATACGAGATGATATTTTGAGTCACTTTGGCTTATTCAGTATGACCTGATACATGGTGAGAACTTGAAAAATGTTTTTTTAAACTTAATCTATCAAAAAGTAAATGTAATATAAATAAAGGAGAGAAAAATACAGTAGGAGAAAGGATGTGGTAAAAAGAGACAGAAGAAATAATTGATGAAAATTAATGAATCATAAGATTTAGAAATATATCTCATTTAGCGCAGAGGTGAAGCCTGGTGATCTGTGAGCTAAATCTGCCTACAGATAGGTTTTGATAGGTCTGCATGGTATTAAAAAGTTGTCTGTTTTTTGGCCAACTCTCAAAAAAGAAAAAAAATCCAGGAGATTTCACAGTGAAATTGTCAACAACAACAAAAAAACTCCCTAAAACAGGTAACTTTTTTTTTTTTAAACCCAAAACACTGGAAACCCAAGTCACCCAGGGCCCCCATATTCCCTCAAGTGCAGCTGAGTTGTAGCTCCTTGGTGGGATGTGTCCTCACTCATCACAGACCTGGGGTCACCTCACTTACGCGTTTGCCCTTAAACCTGACCAACCTCCCTCATGCCATCACTTTTCTGAGTCCTGTCAGCATTTGAGCTTTTCATCTGATCTCTCCTAGCTCCTTTTCCTGACATGTAAAGAACTGGTATCCACAGGTAAAATGACACAACTGTAATACCTGAACACTTCCCAGCACTTCTAATTCCTGGTTCAATGCCCTCTACCTATAGCAGTCTTCAGCAGGAAGGGATAGGGAGTAAGTGTCAAAGAAACAAAACCTAAAGGGTCAATGCCAAAGAGACAATTCCCACTTTCCGCTTCCGTTGGTCATTACACATGGATGATAGTCCACCTCACATAGCTACGGTAACCCACTGGGCATCTGCACATCTCACAGCAATTATCATTCCAGTCCTTGTTCTCACTGCCTCTCTGCAGAACACTCACGAACAGGATTCGGTTCCACTTAGTCACCCAGTTAACTCCTCCCAGAGGCTCTGGCAGGCTGAAGACTTTCTACTAAAATGCCTTCCTGTACAGAGACTGTCTCCTCACCATGGTTCCTACCATCGACATCTTAAACATGAGAGTCTGAGTTGAAAATAAAAACACTTTCTGTAAAGTTTAAGTTATAGGAGATGGAACATTCCTTAATCAAATGCCTTTTTAATCAATTGCACTAGAAATTAAAATGTATTTTCTCTTCTCTAGTTCATTTTTTATTTAAAAGAAACTATTGATTTAAGTCCAAGAATCTATAGTTGAGCAAAAAGAAAAATTTAACCAACATAGGATTATACAAACACTGGATCAAATTTCAATCAATTACTATCCAAGGAGTTTTGAATGGGAATAAACAAATTATTTCACTTCGAAGTGAAAGCTTTATAGATCTGACATGAAAATGCTTATTGCCATAGTTAATAGAAGCTTTGCAAATTAGTGTCTATATATAGAGAAAAAAAAATCATAAAAGCCAGAGACATTTTCGGGAGGAGAAAAAGACAGTAGCTGCCAGCACTCAGACAATGATTTTCCTGTTCAGTTTTAGTCCTCAAATTAAGCTATCTTGTCAGTAATTGATTTAAACCATGAGTCCCAAGAACTGGTTTAAATCTTGACATCTAAAAATGGATATTAAAATCTTTTTTCCTAAAAGATTCTAGATACTGAAAGAATTCTTGGCTTTAATGAGCTGTTGCCATTTCATTCAATCAACCAGTGTTTTATTTATAGAATAGCTACCATAGGCAAGGAGCCCTGTGGGGTACATAAAAATGAAGCAGACAAGTCCCTGGAATGGAGCAGGGGAAGAGAACATGCCGAGTATGACAAGGCAGTAAGCAGGGGCTGGGATAAATGCGGTGGCACCATGCGCTATTACAGCTCACTCATTTATGCATTTGTGCATTCATTCATGCAACACATATCGGGTGCTTCCTCTACCAGGAACAATTCTAGAAGCAGAGGAACATGGCCCCCACTCTCATGAAGTTATGGTCCAAAAGAGGAGAGAGACAATGATCAAATATAATCACATCTATGCACGGAGGACAGATGCGCAATTCTGAGGAGGCACTGAGGATGGTGATCTGGCCTGGTCAAGAAAAAGCAGTTGACCAAGGCAGCTTTGGCCTGAACTATTATGAAGAGTTCCCTGGGCACAGAATGAAACCACAAATGCAAAGGTGCTGTGGGCCCCAGGTGCGTAGGGAGCACTTGGGACTGAAAGAAAACTAGTGGGCCTAGAGCAGAAATAACACGAGTCATGCTGGATGAAGCTGGGGGACAGGCAGGGCCCAGATCATGAGGGGCTCTTCAGGCCATGGGAAGGATTTTGGCTTTTATTAGGAGAGCAATGAGAAGACACCTGAGGGTTAAGAAGGGAGCAGTGAGGTCAGATTGAATTTTGAAAAGATGAATCACTTTGCTTACTTGATTTGAGAACAAATATGGCAGGAAAAGAAGAGCAGAATGATTCAGGAAACACATGATGTTTGTTTAGATAATGGTGGTCAAAATAAGCGAGTTTATAGATTTGAAATATTTAGGCAATAAGATAGTCAACACTGGTGATCATTGTTTTAAGAAAGGGGCAGGCAAAGGAGAAGTATCAATGAGAGATGACTGCTATGTATGTGGCACTGGATGGAAGGTGGTACTAGTCCCCGAGAGAGCAAACACTAGAAAAGAGCAGGTCTGGCGGGAAGGGAAGAGAGATCGTGAGAGTGATCATGGATATGTCGGGTCTGAATAGCAGGATGCAGCTAGGTAGATGGGTCTGCAGGTAAGAGGTGAAATATATGTGTGGGTTTCATCTGCGTAGAGGTGGTCACCAAAGCCACAGGAGTAGGAGAGATTGCAGAGGGAGAACATATAAAACGAGAAAAGGAGAAGGCGTGGGGCCAACCCTTGTGGACTCTGACATTTAATGGCTTAATAACCATCAGAGAGATAAAGAACCACTTGAGAGCTAGGAGGAAAACCAGATGAGCATGGCACCACGGAAGCCCTGGCTAGACTGTCTTCTAAGAAGTGACATGGTCAGTGTCGAATGCTGCTGCAAGGTGAAGTAAGATGGTGGATCTCGTGACACTGGCAAGGGTGTGTGTGTGGTGGGGGAAGCTAAAGCAAATCCGAAATGAGTCGAGTGTGACACGGAAGCAATGAAATAAACCCATCTTCCAAAGCGGCTCAACTGGGTGTGGAAGACAGGACGGGAGAGCAGGGCAAATGGACATGAGTCTGTGTGGAGGTTGTTTTTGGTATGTATGTATGCATGTATGTATGTATTTATTTATTTATTAAAGATTTTATTTATTTTTTAGAGAGCGAGCGAGCGAGAAACAGCATGAGAGGGGAGAGGGTCAGAGGGAGAAGTAGGCTCCCCGCTGAGCCGGGAGCCTGATGTGGGACTCGATCCCAGGACCCTGGGATCATGACTCGAGCCGAAGGCAGACGCTTAACCATCTGAGCCACCCAGGCGCCCTTGGTTTTTATTTTTAATAGGAGAAAATGAAGAGTGTCTAAAAGCCTGCAGAAAGGGTTTCTTTCCTAGGGAAATGTCAGCTATGAAGGGCAGAGAGAGGGAAGGAGGATGATGATGCTGAGGAGGGCGCTGGGGTACGTTGCAAGGACAAGTGGAGGTACTGGCCTGGGAGGAAAGGAAGGTAAAAATGTCTCTATTGCAACATGAGGGAAGAAGGAAAGGGTGGGAGGAGATGGTTGATACCTAGAACAGAGAGCCCTGTCAGATGTGAAGTCGATGGTGAGGCCACCAGCTAAAAAGAGTAGAAAAGATCTGAAATGGATCAGTGAAGAAAGAAGGAGAGCAGAGTGAGAAAAAAAGGGCTGTGTACAGATCATCTGAGGTGGGAAATCAGTAAAGCACGGAGGACTGTGATGATGACTTTTGTGTAGCCTTGAAGAGGCGTATTGTCATGTTGGTTTACATCCAACTGAGCTTTAGCCAGATTTTTTTAATGGAATGCTGAGGTTTTGTCTTGAGAAATGAAAACTGAGCAAGAAGATAGACAAGTAAATCCATTTTCAATTGAGGAGTCTAAGACTAGAATAAGCACACTAAGGTTTCCCATAAATTTTACTAATCAAACTTAATCTAAGTATGTGATTAAGTTCTATTCTTAAATTCAACTCTTATTTTCTTTCAAAATAATCTCAGAAAATCTCACCCAAACTGATTCTTTAACATTTTACATCTACATAATAAGGAAAAATAAAAAATAAGATGACCTAAATGCAAATCTGACATATGTGTAACTGAAGTTCTCTTTTTTGTCAATATAGGCTACACCTATTATAAAGATATCTCAATCCTGGGAACTGAAAATCATAAAAAAAGTGGACAGTCATAATTTCAAATTTTGGGGGGCAAAGAACAAACAACATCAGAACGTATGAGTTATTATTTTTTTCCTACCGTATTCACACTTCTTTTTTCCAGTAGTAGTCGAAATAAATTAGCTGTAACCTTGTTATCATGGACACCTTGCTCAAGGCCGCGATTATCATCTTGCATGAGTCTTCGATCCATGATAACTTCAATCTGACCTAACAAACAAACAAACAAACTGGCCAGAGTTATTTAATACAAACATCCAGTGACAATCACATAAGTTTAGGCACGGTCCTGATTTAAGCCAAGGAGACAGATCCATATAGCCCAAAGTACCAAGGGCTTTCTCAAAACAGCTAGGATAAATGCAAAAAACAGGACTTTATTTCCGTTCTTCTTCATGAATGTCTGGTAAAATTTGGTAAGAAATTTAAAAATGAGACAGATCAAAACTTAAGTGAAATTTAAAAAGAATTAATCTGAAGAGTAAATTATGTCCTCTAAAATTTTTAGTGGTAGCACCTGGAATTTAAAAACATTTACGAGGTTCATTAGGAAACATACATCACACCTGGAGTAACAAGGCAAATACAGATGTGTAGAATCTAAAAAGGATTTGAAAGACTAAGCGTTTTGGTTACTTGGTATCTGGTGATTCTCTGAAGAAACCCCAGGATTTGGAGACACCCAGCACGTACCCCCTTCCCTCCCTGGTATTAAGTTAGTGGCATCAACTATCCTCTCTCCTCTAGTTCAAGAAGAGGTCATATTTGGTTCCTTCATTGGCTGTGCAGTAATTCCACACCTCCTCTAGGTTAAGTTGTAAGCTAAGAATTAGGCTATGAGACTACAAACCAAAAAACCCTATCCAAAACAAAGCAAAAAACCACCCAGAGCCACAGTCATATATTTACACTAAAAAAAAACCTAGTCATACATAAAAATATATGCATATTCATCCATCCACTCATTCACATTTGTTACAGTACTAAATGATCTTTTGGCATAAAAGAGCAATACATAAAATATTTTAATAACTATTATTTTTACCCAGTCAATCCAACTCTGTTTAGTTCTTTCTTCTCAATTTAGGTACCCAGTACATAAAACTGCCAGTGATGGTCAGAATTTTCGTTGTTACTACCTCCATATTTATTTTAGAACACAACTGTCTAGAATGTGCTCCTCAGGCACTGGGACGAATTGGCCATCTAGAGCTTGATCATGTCACACCCAAATGAGTACATCAGTCTCTTGGCAGTTTCTCTCTTCTCCCTGCCTCCAAATGTTAGCCCTCATAATATGTGACACTCAGTAAATCTCCTGGGCTGTACTCAAATTGTTCTTCTGTTTGTAGGTACTGAAATGCTAGGGTGCTTGGCTGTCTGTAGCAGGGGCACCTGGGCCAGGTGTGACTCTTGAGCCCCCCATTTTTAAACGTTGCCTTAAATTCTCAAAGCTGGGTCCTTAAATAGGGAACTAGACATTAGGACTGGAGCAATCATGGAGTAGACAGTTATGTCACTTCCCTTGACAAAGGCAAGCTGAGAAATAAAGCTCCTCTGTCCCTAAACCACATTTAGGAATTTTATGTGAAGTTGTCCAATCTATAAATAGTTGACTTAATTTTTTAAAAATCAAAACATATGGAGTGCCTGGGTGGCTCAGTCATTAAGCGGCTGCCTTCAGCTCAAGTCATGGTCCCGGGGTCCCGGGATCGAGCCCCATATTGTGCTCCCTGCTCCCTGGGAAGCCTGCTTCTCCCTCTCCCACTCCCCCTGCTTATGTTCCCTCTCTCGCTGTCTCTCTCTTTCTCTGTCAAATAAATGAATAAAATCTCCAAAAAAAATAAAAATAAAAACATAAAAAATTCCAGACTCCTGGGCTCTTCAGAAGCAGAAAAATTTGGCAACCCTGGGCCCCTTTCCCCATGGTGACAACAACCTGGCGCTGAGCAGCGGCTGCCCCACCGTTCACTGGGAATGGTGTGCCCCAGTTTGCCAAAGCCCCACCACTCCCCGCTGCATCCCTGATGTGAGGCCATTATTATTTTTCTAACAGCGTTAATGTCTTTTTGGCATCATCTCATGAGTCTGTGTAATGAAAGCCACAAAAGAAGATGAGTAGTATGCTTTTTTGTGTGGGTGGACATATGGAATGTATGTATATGCCCAATTAAAAAAGTGGGTTTGGGGCAAAGGGTACGTCAGGTACCTGCACACCTTTATTATCTGCCTGGCTCCTTAAGACATTTGTCTTAGCAACTCTTAATATGTAAGAAAGAAGAGCAATTTGACTACATATAAATGATAATGAAAAAATATGTATTATAAAGGACATACGCCTCTCCATAGAAGGTTTTATAAAAATTAATCTGTGTTTACGATTTATTTTCTCTTTCCATCTTGTTCTATCTTTTGGAATCCTTAAAGTTGTGTCTGTCACCTCTTTATCTGCCTAGCTGTATCATTGCAACTCCCTTTCTTCTTTCGGGTAGAAGTGCCCTAGAACGATACGATTCAGAGAAGGACCTAGGTTTGAACTGTTACGTCCCGCCTTTGCGAACTTAGGCAACTCTGGGAATTTCTAACTTTTACCCCAGCTCCCTCTCCTCTTTGGCTTCTGGGAGAGTTTCCACAGCCATTCCATTATGATAACGGCAGAGGCTTGTGCAAACAATGAGCTATCAGGAGAGAAAAATTATCTTTAAGAAGCCATGGTTTCATGGAGCTTTAGGTCCCTCATTCTTCATCAGAAGATTGAAGAAATACATTATTTTATGTTATTCTCACAAAACCAAAATTAACTAATAGCTGGTGTCTGAAGATGATAATTAATAATATGACCAACAGAAAAATTATACATTTGGAACTGAAACTTGTAAGAGCAAAAAAGAATCCAAACAACACGCACCACTTTTCAAACTTGAAACCCCTAAACACTGAGCTGAGAGTAATGTCAAGCGATGCTTGGTGTCCTGTATATAGGCCATTGTGGTCATCGGATAGACATTTGCTTGAAGAGGCAATTTGCTCATCGTCATTCTGGGCTGAATCTATAAGACCAAACAGTTCACTTTAAAAAAAAGAAATCAAGGGATATTTACAGATGTACTTTAAAAAATTAGTACTGACTACAGATGACGTTTCTTCCAAAAAGAAAAAGGTATAGCTTCCTTTCTTGTTCAAAGGAAGAGCTAATTTAGGAATTAAAACATTCTTTCAAACAATATGAAAAAAAAAAAATAAGGAGGATCTTAGAAAACTTTTAGGTGAGAAAGGTAGAACTTATCCAGTTTCTTAAAATAGGCATTCCTATTTAAATTCAGAATAAAAATCCTTAACAAAAGTCTTCTAGCTTTCCAATATTTGCATAAAACAAATTATAAAGGTATCAATTATTCATTTCTCATCTAAATCTAACATACTGCTTTTGTAATGAATGCTAAGCATAATAGCTCTCTATCCCCTTTCAAAAAATCTCTCTTATAATTCTTGAATCAGTTTTAATAAATACCACAGATCCCCTTATCAAATCCTCTAACATATTACATTAAAATAATCAAATTAATATTTATATTTAAAAACTCTTCAGTGCTTATTCTTCCTATTTAGTGTCAATGTAGGTAGTTCCATATTTTAACTTTTCTTGGTCTGGTATGTGAATGCATGAAATACATTATTTTATTTTTTGACCGAAAATTCACTAAGCTGGTTGGGGCTGAGGAGAGTCCCTCAAACCTCAGGAGGAAACATCAAACAGAGACTTTGTTACGAGGTATCTTATTCACACCACATAAAAATGACATCTCTCCTGTTCAGCTCATGCAAGTCTGACATGACACTCAAGAAGAAAAGGAGTGCAAAGTTAATGTAATAGTATTGAGTGCCCATTATAACGAGACAAAGTACGGGCATTCACAAATATGATCTTTAATCTTTACAACAACCCTGTAGTGCATCCTTTAACTTACTGGTTGTACTGAATAGTGTCCCCCAAATTCATGGTCATCCATAACCTGTGAATGTGATTTTGTTCTGAAATAGGATCTCTACAGACATAAGGTATAGTGGATTAGGGTGGGCTCTAATCCAAGGGCTGGTGTCCTTCTAAGCAGGAAACCTGGACACGAAAGGACACACACGGCAACACAAGGAGAATACGACAGGGACTCTGGGACAGCAGAGGCAGACAGTGGAGTGATGGGTCTACAAGCCCATCAGAAGCCCCAACAGGCAAGGAAGAGTATTTCCCTAGAGCCTCTGGAGGGAGTGTGGCCCTGAAGACATCTTGATTTGGGACTTCTGGTGTCCAGAACTATGACAGAATAAATTCTTGTTGTTCTAAGCCACCCATTTTGTGGTAATTTGTATCACAGGCCCAGGAAATTATGAACCTGAAGAAACAACTGCAAAATGTTAAAAAAAAAAAAAAAGAAAGAAAGAAAGAAAAAAGAAGAGAGAGTTTCAAAGAATTTTCCATTTCTCCTTTCCAATCTGGATCTTCCCAATCAAATTAACTTGTATACTCACTGAAAAGGACATTCACACTGTCATGACTATAGGGCTGCCACCCTCACTCCCTACCTGTTGGTCTAGATTTCTAGTTTTGCTCAAGGACTACTCTTTCCAAGGCTTAAAAAATGGCCTATTTTAGAAGCAGAAATATTTAGGTCATAAATTTAGAAATTTAGAAGTTTAGAAATAATATTTTCCCATTTATTCAAATGCTCGATCCTTGAAAAGAAAATTCACATGTTTATTCACTTTTACTAAGTTTTTTTCATTCATGTATACACCCACACATACAAATAATTGCTTTTGTAAGATTTTAAGAAAAGAGTTTCTTTTGTACACAAGGAAAATGAATCACCATAAAGTCAGGGCTTCATTTGAAAACCAAACAGCTGTGGTAGAATTAACATGTAAATTCAAAGTGTATAATGCAATTTTTATGCTTTGGAAAAGGTTTAAATTTAACCTTTGCAGGAAATTGTAGAAGAGAAAATTATCACAACCCCTTCCACTCATCCCAGTTGAAAATCAGACAAAGTAAAAGCATTTGTTGTGAAATTATTTCTATTCATAGCCAGAAATTTCTAAAATGCTAATGTCTCAAAAACATGCTAATGTTTTTAGTGGTAGTATTTCAAAGCTATGTTGTCACACACATATACTCTGAATATATAAATTTATGTAACAATCAAAAGAGCCCTATTAAATTAGAGAGCTAACAATCTGAAAAAAATTGAGTCAATTTTCTCATTACTATTTCAAACTATTTTGTGAACATTTTGATTAAATACATACCTGCCCACATTTCTATATATGTGCTTGTATTTCTTTGTCTATGTATATGTACACAAGTGTGTGCATAAAGGTAAATACACATACATTATTGATAAAAAGAGGGAAAGAGCTTTCCTGAAATTTAAAAGAGCCCATTATTACATTATACATTTAAAAGTATATATGTAATAAATTAAATACACACATACCATTTCTTTATGAGTGGAAAAATACATACTCCACCAATCCCTAATTATGTTTCCTTTCTATTAAACAAATTCAGATATATTTTGGTGTCAAGGCATTTAACATGCAAATGGTCACCAAATCTGCCTTTGAAAAAACTACCTCCGTAAATCAGATGCTCTACAAACCAATCTCTCAAATATCTGTTCTAACTTTGGACATCTGGTTGAATATAGAACCTATAAGTACCTGTTAAAATTCAGTTTTCCTTTAGAAATAATTTGTAAACGTAAGCATATTTTTCAAAGGATCCAAAATTAACTGGCCCACTACCATATATAAAAGTTACACACTAACACAGCTATTACTTAGACATTTTAAGGGAAAATTACCTGATATCCATTCAGGTCAGTATAAAATTTGTTTTGACTGTTTATGCTAGAAGAAATTCTCATTGCAATCTCACGGTTATGTTCTTTTCGGATGTCCACGATATTGGACACTTCCACAGACTGTCCGTCTATTCCTAAATTTAAAAGAATATATATGTTAATAGAAATTGATTGCTCCACTTTTCTTATACTGTACAGAACTTCCAGAGTGACATACATTTTCCCGTTTTCTATTCCTATCTTCACCATTTTTCATGCTAACTGTGCCACCGTTCACCTTTTTCTTTCTTTTCTTTCTTTCTTTTTTTTTTTTTACACTGTCAGACAGTAGAAAACATTTACTCCGGAGAACATGTAACTCAACAGAAGGATGCTTGGGATGAGATAAACGCAGATGAAATATAACATGCAAATGATTCTCCAATGAGTTCTGGAGGGAAAAGAGAACTTTAAATGAGAAAAGGTTAGCCCCACTCCAGGCCAGGCCGCCTGTCACGTGTACGGCCATTCTCCAACAGAGCCATGTGAGCCTACTTCTTCACGGCTCGCCTTCCGTGCTGGAAATCTGAAGCAGTGAGATCTACACTCTGTTGGTTCAAGAGACAGTCTATTACTGCCCATGATCTATAATCTAGGAAAAGAGACACGAGATCCAATGAGATGCTTTATGGCTAAAATGGATATTATCATATTAGTATTTGTGGAGTATAATCTGGACAGCTCCCCAGAAGTTAAATCAATTTTTTTTTAAGATTTTATTTATTTATTTGACAGAGAGAGACAGCGAGAGAGGGAACACAAGCAGGGGGAGTGGGAGAGGGAGAAGCAGGCTTCCCGCCGAGCAGGGAGTCCGATGCGGGGCTCGATCCCAGGACCCTGGGATCATGACCTGAGCGGAAGGCAGCCACTTAACCAACTGAGCCACCCAGGTGCCCCAAGTTAAATCAATTTTAGTTGAGTTTGGTATCTCTTAGGACCCCTTGTTATGGAGTGATTCATTTTGTCCTTTGCTATATAAAGCAGAGGACAGCTTGAAGAAGTCCCAGATGTATCAAACATTTATTTTTTTGGATAAGCCTAAACTTTTCACTAATTTCTATCTGTCATGCCACCCTAACTATATCTTCTGGTCCTGAGTGAAGCCTTGGGTCTATTTCCGAGACGGAGAGGGGAGTTATGGAGAAATCCAACACTCCTAATACAGACTGAGTATGTAGAAGAGATACTGGATCTTCTACAAAAGAGCAATCAGGAAAGCAAGCAATCAAAAGAAGAAAGACTGGCCCTATCCTATTTCATACGGCAGAAGGTTTTTAAGGTTCTAAGAGCCCTGGACACGTACCTGCAGTTGTCAGTCGTTACCCACCAGGCCTCACACACACTCTGTCACAGCGTGCTGATCACCAGGACACTCTTTAGACAAAGAAGGCTATGTAAAGAGAAATGGGGAGTGGGAGAAGGGAGTAAGGAGGACTTTTTCTGGAAGCCAAGAAGAATCCCCAGGGCTTAGAGAAGATGAAAGCAAACAGTTAAAGGAAGGAAGTTTGAATCGGTGGGACTGGTGGAAAATAATGAAAATGCAGCTAGCTGAGGCACTATAGGTTTATGTGAGAAGTACACCGGAAATTGTAAGACATCAATAGTAATATGCTGACAATACTAAATGGGCAGAAGCCTCCATCAACAGATTTTTCAGAATTCTCACAGAAGTTCTTTTCTGGGAGATGTTACGCCTCCAACTCGACAACCTCAGTCAGAGATGACTTCAGTTTCTTACTATGTTCATAAAGCTGTGATGAGCAGTATGACCTCATGTGTGGGGGAAGAAGGTCCTTTTCTTTTCCCTCCCACTTTATGGCCAGTCTGAACCACTAACCAGTAAAATATACATATAACTTTCCTTCTGACAATTACCAGATAACTGACCCAAATAGCTTCACTACTACTGGGAAGTTAAAAGAAAACAAAAATCACATCCACTGATGCCAGAACAACGGTGTTTTCTTTGACTAGGAAATGTATTACTTTCGATGCAAACTTTCCTTTCAGTAGGTTTATTTCAACCCCAATATCTTTCAAAGCCAATGAAATGTATATGGAATTCTAACAGACAAGCTTCCACAAATGAACCAAAGATGCCAAAAAACACAAAATACAGCATAGGGATGAAGTCCCCCATGAAGCATTCAGGCGAACACCTCATCTACTGGAGGCATTCGTGGCTGTTTGGCACCACGTCCGTTTTCTCCTCTCTAGACTGGATATTCTCCCAGGGGGTCAATAGAGTACATGAAATGAAATAAAGTCTTTACAAAGGAGAGTGTCATTAATTTCAAGTCACGTATCTCTGGAAAACATTTACAAAAAACATGCTTCAAGAAAAAATAAATAATTTCACATTACCTCTGGCAATAATAAATTATTTCTGTTGAGAAAATGATCTTTCTTGAGCTCAGTATTATGCTCAGATCCGGTTGTGGCAACAAATGCTTAAGTCTCCTTTAAAAGGAGCCTCGATGTCCATTCACAGTTCAGCAAGACATCTGTGCCAGGACAGGCTTTTAAAGTAAGATCAAACCTAATACACTTATTATGAACAAACCAAATAAATCTTGTAATGGTAATCAAAGCAAGGAGGTATCCCTGAGTCATCAAAGGTAATTTATTACTTTTTAAAGAGGAATCTATGTGAGGGGGATAAAGGACTGCTACCTTTTCCTACTCTAGGTCAAGAATTCCCTAAAGTGTGCCATTCCCAAAGAAGCTCATGGGATTGAGGGGAGAACTCCCTGGGAAGCATGGGTATGAACCGATCGGTCTCAGTGACCTGCAGAATCTTTGCAGCAAAAGGTTCTTTTACCAAATTGGTTCCACCTGGGCATGGATGGCCAGGAATTTCTAAGCCCCTCTGGTTTTTCTTCAGTCCTGGGAAAGAAAACAGCTCCTACCTAACAAGCGTAGTCCAAAGAGTTATATCATTGATAAAGACAGAGAATTAAGAACTCCCTTGCTGCTAACACCTCACCCTCTGTCCCCAGAAAGAGAGAATGGAGATTATTTATCTTTATTAACAGAGGCAATGCAAGGTAAAAACAGAGCAAGTCCACAGGTGGAAAGCCATCATAGAGAAGCGGAAAGAGTCTTGCAGAACTCTGAAGTTTTTTTTTTTTTTTTTCTCCTCCCTGGAGCCTGTTAGCTCCTTACAGATTGTCTTACACACCATCTCTGCATTCCAGTTTTTAACAATAATTTGGGGATGTAGTAGGTGCTGAATCACCATTAAAGAGAATGAGTTAAGATGTGAGAGGCTGTCCTTCATGATGCAGAAGTCAGCTGACATGGGAGGAAAGCAAACTAGGCCATGGACAGAGTTTAAATAGAAAGAAGGGAATAAGTACTTAGATTTTGAGCAAACACATGCATGTTAGAATGTAAGCTCCTCAAGCACTGGGACCATGTCTTATTTATCTTTATGCTCCCAGCACATAATAGGCAGATAGTGTTTGCTGAGTAACGGGCAGCAGCTACATGGAAGAATCAGCCAACAGTTACTGAGTCCTCGCTATGTACCATATGCCCCGGCATATGCTTTACATACAGTAACTCATTCAATCCTGACCCTAAGCCTAGGAGAACATACCTTGCCCCAGATCACAAGGCTGACAGAACCAGCACTAAGCCTCTCGGCCATCACGTCTCACTGGCAAATTGACCACTAGAGAATGTTAAAGTTACTTTGGGACCATGGATTGGAGAAGCTTTGCAATGACTCTAAGTAGAAAGGAGACCTCCAGGTTATTTTTTAAGAAAGGGAGAGGGTACTGATCTGGGATGATATGCTGCAAGTGCTACCTAAAGGAGACAAATACATTATCAGTAAAATAAAATAAAAATAATAAAAAATAATTATGGGACAGGCTTGCCAGAATACAAAACTTCTTCAAAACAATCCTAAATCTTTTCTTTAAAAATGTTACGGTCACTTTAGAAGCCAATAAAGTAATATACACTAATTAAAGACAATGTGATCTCACGTATTTACCTAAGATGAACACTAATCACAAGCACAAGCATGTTCACTGTGCACTGGTGCCAAGGGTAGAAACATGGGGAAACAGGCTAGATGCCCACCAACAGACAAATGAATAATAAAACCAGTACATCCACGTTTTGGACTGCTCTGTAGCAAATGAATGAGGTAGCTCTCTGCCCGGGAAAGAAAGATATCTGATGCAAGAGGTGAATGGAGCATTTGTACAGTGTGATGAGCTTTTTGCTAAAACCAAACACAATACTATACCTTTCTGCAGATATGCATGCAAGAGAGGTGTGTGTGAGAGAGAGAGAGGAGATAGAGAGAGAGAATGCAAGTGATCCGAGAGTGCACACAGGTATCTGATTACCTCTCTTGAGTAGTGGATAGGGACCACGCACAGATTCTAGAGGGATTTTACATTATATACATATACTATAATGTGTGACACTTTTGTCAAAAGAGTATACATATATATTATTTGTATACATAAAAATTATTATCTTTTTTATTCTATTTTTTTTAGATTTTATTTATTTGACAGAGAAAGACACAGCAAGAGAAGGAACACAAGCAGGCAGAGTGGGAGAGGGAGAAGCAGGCTTCCCGCTGAGCAGGGAGCACGATACGGGGCTCGATCCCAGGACCCCGGGACCATGACCTGAGCCGAAGGCAGACGCTTAACAACTGAGCCACCCAGGTGCCCCCGAACTTACCCAACTTAACCAGGAGTTGACGCTTAGGGTTATTAACTAATACACACTGCTTCACTCAACACATAAACGACAATTCTCGCAACAATGATAAATTTAGTAGGACAATATGGAGATGATGTTTCTAAAAAAGCAAATATTATCATTTTTTAAAACTGTACTCATATCTGAAAGTACCAAGAATAAAAATGGTAATAACTCCCATAACTAGATGACCTTTTTGTCCATGTTGACTTATTCAACTTGCCTATCCATTGTAAGATCTAATTTATCCTCTGAGGTACTTGCTGATTTCCAGGTCTGTAAATGTTCATATTGACTATTTCTCCACAAGTGAAAATTTTAACATCTGCTTTCATGAATATAAATTTGAGTAAATTTCATTCCA